GGAAGAGCCCCCCCATATAGGGGTGGGGGCCCCCGGCCCCACCCAACACCCCACACACCACGCCGGAGTCGCCGCCGGCCCTGCCCCCTCCTACCCGGCGCCCCCCCGTTGCCGCCCCTCAGGCACCCGCCCGATGCGCTCGCCGCCATCCAGCTGCTCGGCCTCGTCGTCTCGGTCCCTCTCCTCCTCGTCTCGACGGTGGCGGTCGAGCTCCCCGCCGCCTCCGCCGCCTCGGCTGCGAGCCTTCACAGCTGCGCCCTCCTCCGCCACGTCGCCCTCGGCGCAGCTGCCGCCTCCGCCGCCGCCTCGGCCTTCGCCGTCGCGCGGCTCGCACACGGCGGCCGCCGCCTCGCCTCGCTCGGCGCCGGCACGGCACGCTGGCTCGGGCTCATGGCGAGCACTTGCGGCTGCCTCGCCGCGGCCGTTCTGGCGGAGCAGATTTGGGGCTCGTGCGCCACGCCCTCCTCCTCCTCCGCCGCCGCCGCCGCGCCGCCGGTTGCGACGGGCGAGCTTCTGCTCAACGGCCTCGTCGACTGGTGCCTCTTCTTCCTCCGCGGCCAGGCGGCGGCGCTCGCCGTCTTGATGGCGCAGCAGTCGTGCCCCGACCGGTCGAGCCGCTCGACGGCCGCCTAATGAATAGTTAATTAATAGTTAATGAGTAGTCAACTATTAATTAGGTCGAGCCGCTCGACGGCCGCCGGGCAGCAGCGATCGCGGAGGCTCGGGATCGGGCTGGCGGCGCTGCTCCCCGCCCTGGCCGAGGTGGCGGGCGCCGTCGACCCGCAGCGCGTACAGCTGATGATGAGCTTCGCGTGCCGGCCGACGCCGCGGGTGAAGGTGCTGGTCCACGCCTCGCTCAACGTGCTCTACGCGCTGGCCATCATCCTCTCCCTCGGCCTCATGCGCCTCGCCCCGACGCCGGCCGCCGCAGGTCCGCCCTCGGATCTGCCAGAGGGGGGGATGTCGGAGGGGATCGCCGCTGCCACGGCGCCTCGTGGCGACGGCAGCGGCGGAGTGGCCAGCCGTGGCGACGCCGCAGGGGGCGGCTGCCGCACCTCGTCTCCTTGCGCGGCTGCGCCTGAGGTCGGGGCGCCGGGCGCCGAGGGGGCCGTGCGCGCGGCGGCGGTCTCGACGACGCCCTCGACGGCCGACGTTTTGGCGCCGCTGCAGGCGCCGCGAGCGACCGCTCAACCTACCGCCGCTGCCCCGCCAAAGTTCCTCCGCCCCACAGCGCGGCTCGGCCACACCGTGCCCGTGCCCGCCGCCGCCTCGTCGCCAACCCGGGCGTTGGGCATGCCGCTGCTGCGTGGCGACTCCCACTTTGAGGCGGAGATAGAAGGCACCGGCGGCGGCGGCGGCGGCGGCGGCGGCGGCGGCGGCGGCGGCGGCGGGGGCGACGGCGGTGAGTGCAGCGATTGCGACGAGCCGCTCTGTGACCAGCTTCACCGCCACCGCCTCCGGCTGTCGTCGCTCCTGCTCGCGGCGCTGGCATCGGCCTTGCTCGCTTTCTCGATCGAGGTGGAGGGCCTTGTCCGCTCCAGGGGCGAGGCGGCGCGCCCCCCCTCGGGCGTGCAGGTCGAGCTGCTGCTCCTCGCGCGGCTCGTCGACTGCTCGATCGGCACCCTCCTCGCGCTCGTCTTTGCGCCGCAGCTGCTGCCCCGCACGCCCGCCGCGCTCGCGAGGGTGCGCTCCGCCATGCGGTCTGTGCGCGCTTTTCCGTCGACGTGGGCGATTGCGCGAGGTGACAGCTCCGCCCGGCTCGACGAGGATCAGCGGCGGCGCCAGTGAGTCGGTGGGTGCCTTTTTGTGCGCGATCTGTTGATCTAGGGATCTCAGGATTCTTTTGTGCGTACGGCTCTAAGGGTGAGCCGTGACTTGTATCTTTTCTTTAAGATCAGTGTGTGTCGGTGACAATGTCAGGCACCTGCGAGCGCCGGAGGGGTACACGCACACCGGTCACACGCACATGCGGGACCCGAGATCTCATAAACCTCCACCTCCCGCGGGTTCACGTTCGCAGGGGTGGCAAATAGGACGGCAATACGGCTTTACACAGAGCCTGGCGCCCTTTCGCGCTTCTATCACTCGGCCCCGGCGCCCACGCCTCGATCTTCTTGGGCAGCAGCTGGTTGGACAGGTCCTCTCCGTGGCCTAGGCAGCTGCTCTCGCCCTTGCCCCACGTGAAGACGGTGCTGTCGGCGGAAAGGGCGAGGCTACGCTGCCACCCAGCCGACACAGCGACGACGCGCTGCCCCGCCAAGGCCTCGATCTTCTTCACGGCAGCTGCTGCAGTTGCTCGTCGCCGTGGCCCAGCATGCCAAAGGTTCCAAAGCCCCAGCTCCAGACGGCGCCGTTGGCGGCGAGGGCGAGGCTGTGCTGACCTCCAGCCGACACAGCGACGACGCGCTGGCCATCAAAAGCCTCGATCTTCCTGAGCAGCAGCTGGTTCTGCAGACTGCCGTGGCCCAGCGCGCCCAAGCCTCCCTGACCCCAGCTCCAGACGGCGCCGTCGGCGGTGATGGCGAGGCTGTGGGAGTCTCCAGCCGACACGGCGATGACACTCCGGCCAGCAAAGGCCTCGACCTTCTTCGGCAGCAGCTGTAGCTGCGTGTCGCCGTGGCCCAACCGGCCGTCGTCTCCACTGCCCCAGCTCCAGACACAGCTCCGTCGGCGGTGATGGCGAGGCTGTGGCTGCCTCCAGCAGACACGTGCGGTGTGAGTGTGTGCGTGTCATGCGGCTACAGCAGATAACCGTCGGTGTCCGTCTGTATTATTATTAACAACGAAGGCGCTCTCAAAAAAGAATTTTCCGGGGGCTTTTACAAGGATCGGGCTCGCACACGCACGATTCACACGGCACGCAAGGCGCAGACGACGGCGCGCGAAAAGTCTTCTATCTTTTCTTTCCTAGTATTTTTCACGATTCCACGGGAGATGGCTTGCTAAGCGGTCATTGTCTTGGTGTCCATGCAAGGCGCGCGATACACATGTACCGTTGATCTGCTCGATTTAAACACACGCAACTTCACACGATATCGTATAAGACATGTACATGTGCCCCATTCACACTTTGTGTGTGTGGAAACGTTTATCTTTGTTTCCTCACCTTGGCTCAAAATGGCGGGATCTCCGCGGCTACCCTCGGCGCCTCCTCCTCGATGACAATGGTCACCGCAGGCTTCGCAGCAAAATTGACCGCCATGCCGAGCTCGTCCGCCAGAACCTCGAGGAAGAGCGGCATGAGGGCCGCGCCGCATATTTGCTCCGCGGTCGGCGCGACGGCTCCGTCCTGCACGATGGTCGCCCGCGCTGAGCGGCCGCCGAGGTCCTCCATCGTCGTCTGCTGGAGAGTGATGCTCACTCCTCCCTCCTCAAGGCTGCGAGACAGCGATGCCACCACGGCGTCCTCGACTGCGTCCAAGTCGAGCAGCGGGGCGGGTGGTGGCGACGGCGGCGACGGCGAGGATGATAGCGTTTCCCCGCTCGGTGAACAGTGGTGTCCCAAGGGCCTGATGCGAGATCCTTTTCTGCTGTACCACCCGCCCAGCGACCGGTTTGTGCTGCTCTGGACGACGGGATGGGCGGCGACGACGATCGGATTTGCAACCTCCGACGATCTCGTCCATTGGAGCGCGCAGCGCGCCATCGAGGTGACGCGCGGGCTGGCCGACCCGATCGTCACGTGGGCGCCCGAAGCCGTCTTCGACCCTGATAGCGGTGAGACCTCGTCTCCAGCTTCCTAAGAGCACCTTCACAGACGCTCCACCGTTAACAGGACAGACCATGATCTTCTGGAGCTCGAGCACGGGTCGCTTGGAAGCGCCAGGGGTGTGGCGGGCGCTGAGCAGCGTCTCTTGAAGCCTCCCGGTGTGAAAAGGCAGCATCGAATGGTCGAATCTGGAGCCGACAAAGGGGCGGCTAACAGCAGACGAGAAGAAGGTGCGTCTCGCCCTCGGGTGTTGGAGGGGGTGGTGCGTTCAGCTCACAGCTGCCCTCTGTTCGAACAGGAGCGGCAGAAGGCGTACCGAAACGCGAGTCAGTCCTACTGGCAGACGCCCAAGCGCATCTACTATACCCTTACCGCCGACTTTGAGAGCTTCACGCCGGCACGGCTCCTCTTTGACTCTGGCTACTCAACCATCGACGCCACCGTCCTTCGCAGCGAGGGCCACCACCGCATGGAGTGTTGAGCAAAGGAGGGGAGGGCGCCTCTTCATGGCATCCCGGCGTGATAGGGCGATACTATATGGCGTACCGCGCAAAGGTGGGCGACGCCGTCTCGCTCTACACGGCCGAGGCCAGCGACATGACCGGGCCGTGCGTGCCCTCGCCCCGAGTGTAGCGCTCCCCCGCATGTATCTCTGTTTCCCTCTGCTGGTGGCAATCCGCGAGTTCTCAGGCGGACTAAATGCGAGCGTATAATGTGGATATTGACCGCGTTTGCTTGCGCTGCGCAGATACCGGACGATTGGCAACCTCAGTGCGCTGGTGCCGGTGCCCACCGAGGGGCCGAGCTTGGTGCGGACTGTGGTGGCTGCTGCTTCACCTCTTGGCCGGTGCAAAGCGACGTGTTGCGAAATAGGTTGAGTGGGGCGGCTGCTTCTACATCTACCACGACATGTACGAGGACGGCCGCTATGGCGTGCTCTTGGCGCCGAGCATGCACAAACCATGGGAGTGCGACGGGTGCCGTGAACAGCGCCTGACTAACGTCGCGGTCTCTGTGAGCATAGGCACGGGCCATGGCGAACAGAGGAGGGACTTCACGTGCCAGACCTGACGCGACACGCGACGGTGATCCACATGCCGCGAGCCCGCGCAAGCGCGCTGCTCGGGCGCGCCGAGGCGGCTGGGAGGGGGAGAGAGGAGGACCAAAGGTGGCGCAAGAAAATAAGAAAGTAGAACGGTCAAGCTATGGTGGAGACAGACGCACATACAGAGAGTGCGGTCAGTAAAGTCTCTCTCTCTCTCTCTCTCTCTCTCTCTCTCTCTCTCTCTCTCTCTCTCTCTCTCTCTCCTGCCAGGCGGTCATCGGCGGCTTGAATCAATGTCCGCAGGGGGCTTAGGGGACCCCTAGGGTTCTGAGGGCCGGATTTTTTGAAGACCTTTTAAAAGAAACGAGGAGGTTTGGGGGCTCAAGAGATTGCAGGCACGGGGGGTCCCTCGTTTAAGACCGTTTAAGAAAATCGGCCTCGCCGGCATGCGTCGCTGGGTTTCGCGCCGTTTTCTCCAATACTGCCGTTATTAGGCACAAACCCGCCTCTGAAGTGTGAAGACACATCTGTAAGAGTCTGGTGCACTGGCAGGAGCCATACTCGCATAGGGGACGCGTGCTAGCTGACTGTAGCCAGCTTCCCGGCCTCCGGCGTGTCTACCGGGAGCCTCCCGGACCATCGACCTCCCGCACCGTTTAAGCGTTTAAGACCGTTTGAGGAATTGGCGGCCCAGCAGCTCTTAAAACCGGCCTAGGCCGGTTTTAAGCCGTTTAAGCCGCAGGCGCCCCAGGGCCCACCCTTTTAAGCCTAGGGGTCCCCTAAGGCAGGGGGGGAGGGGGGGGGGGGGGCAAAAGTGAACTCAAAGCGCTCCTTCCGAAACAATGAACATTATTAAAACTGTGCTCTGCACACCGTGGCGCGAGCGAAGCTTCAGAACTGGCTTCAGCGGAAACGGGAAAGAACACTCAGATCTCGTGCGACATGCTTCAAATGTCCGTCGTGCGTCGATCGTCCTCGACCTGTCAGCTGGACTTCAACCCCCCCCCCCCCTTCTCACTCCCGCGACCACACCTCGATCTTCTTCGGCAGCAGCTGGTTCAACAGGTCCTCTCCGTGGCCTAGGCGGGCGTCTTCGCCCTCGCCACAGCTCCACACAGCGCCATCGGCGGTGAGGGCGAGGCTGTGGACTTCCCCTGCCGATACAGCCGCGACGCGCCGCCCCGCAAATGCCTCCACCTTCTTCGGCAGCGACTGGTTCAGCTGATTGCCGTGGCCCAGCTGGCCACAACGCCCCATGCCCCAGCTCCAGACGGCGCCATCGGCGGTGATTGCCATGCTGTGGCGATCTCCAGCCGACACAGCCACGACGCGCTGGCCAGCGAAGGCCTCGACCTTCTTCGGCAGCAGCTGGTACTGCTCGTCGCCGTGGCCCAGCTGGCCATAGGGTCCCCAGCCCCAGCTCCAGACGCTGCCGTCGGCGGTGAGGGCGATGCTATGGTCTGCTCCCGCCGACACGGCGACGGCCCGCTGATCAGCGAAGGCCTCGATCTTCTTGGGCAGCAGCTGGTGCTGCTCGTCGCCGTGGCCCAGCTTGCCAAAGGCTCCCCAGCCCCAGCTCCAAGCGGCGCCGTCAGCGGTGAGGGCGAGGCTGTGCTGACCTCCAGCCGAGACAGCGACGACACGCCGCCCAGCAAAGGCCTCGATCTTCTTGGGCAGCAGATGGTTCTGCGTGTCGCCGTGGCCCAACTCGCCCGAGTCTGCATCGCCCCAGCTGCAGACGCTGCCGTCGGCGGTGATGGCGAGGCTGTGCACGCCTCCAGCCGACACAGCGACGACGCGCCGCCCAGCAAAGGCCTCGATCTTCTTCGGCTGCCACTGGTGCTCCTCGTCGCCGTGTCCCAGCTGGCCCTGCCAGCCGCAGCCCCAAGACCAAAGGGCGCCGTCCGCGGAGAGAGCGAGGCTGAAAAGTCCTGACGTCGCCACACCAACCGCGCGCTCGCCTCCGAGGAGCGACGGGAGACGGGTTGGCGTCTTCAGCTGCAGCACGCCCTCGCCGTGGCCGAGAAGGCCTGGATCGCCGTGGCCGAGAGGGCCTGGCAGCTCCACCTCTTCGTCCTCCTCGTCCTCCTCGCCCTCCTCGTCCTCCGCTGACAAGCGGCGCCATCCTCCATTGCCGCACGACGAGAGCCGCCCCTCGCCGTCGATGAAGATGCTGTGCCGTGCGCCTGCCGCCAGCCTCGCGGGCGGGTTGGACTCGCACAGCAGCGCAGCGAAGCACAGCCACCGCACGGCGCAGCTCTCGCCCTCTGGCTGCGCAGGCAGCTCGTAGCCGCGCTCTTGCGCCCAAAGGCGGATTCCCTCCACCGCAAGCGAGGCGTGGAAGAGAAGCGAGACGGCCGCGACGCGAGCGATGTCGACGGGGCTGTAGAAGTGAGAGAGGGCGCGGACGAGGAGCTCCGTGGGGAGGTCGAGGAGGCGGGTGGGCGGCGGCGTGTCTGGCGAGGGAGCGGCGGTGGAGGCGGAGGCGAGGCGGCGCGAGCGGCGCGGCGGGGCAGACATCGCGAAGAAAAGAATTTCACCCCGGCTTCGTGCGTTATTTTTTGCGACACACATTTCCGCAGTTTCGAAACACCTGCGGACGCACGCTTTTCTTCTTCTCACATTTTTCCAACAACCGCACAGAGAGTTGTGCCATCGACGGAATGCTCGCAACGTGGCTATTCGCTGCGCTGCCAGCCTCCTACCTGCCGGGCTACAAGGGCCTCTTCACTCGAGACGGCGATCTCATCCGCGACTTGGATAAATACGTCCGCTCGGGTCAGCCGTGCTTCTCGCAGCTGCAGAACGAGGTGAAGAACCCGTTTGCATATGCCAAGACGAGGTACGGCAAAGAACCCAAGTTTGTTTACCACTATACCGACAATGAGAGCCTCAGGAAGATCTTGAAGTCTGGCGAAATCCTGCCGAGCCTCGAGCAGGATGGAGATGCGAAAATGGGCGACGGCGTTTACATGACCACAATCCCTGAGTGGGCGAGCAAGAAGGTCATCCTCCGCAACAACTATGACGGTGCTGCGCTCAAGGACGAGTACAGCCGCCGCGCAGAGGCTTTCATCCGCATCCCATTCGAGGATCTGGACAATTACTTGGCCTGGGCGGATGGAGAGTTTCAGACTGACAAGCGCAGCGTCTTTTGCATCGGCGGCGCCCGCCCGTTGCGGCTGCGCTGGCGGCGTGGCAAGCTGACCTCGATCAAGGTGTACAAGTACGCATTCAGCGTTCACTGAGCACGTCGCGCGCGCTCGCGCTGCTCATCCTCCGGTACACTGTATAACGGTCCCATTCCGCCTCACGTTCACCCGCACCTCCCGCCCGTTGAAGAATTTCGCCTGGCAGGAAGCCGTCGCCTGCGCCTTGTGTGCCTTTCTTTCTCGCGTGCAGTCTGGTGTTTTTCTTTTTTGCTGTCCGCATCTGCGAGCGGGTTCTTTACCAGGTTGCAACCCCTGTTCCGCACTGTGCTGTGAACGCTGCTGGTTGCCGCCGGTTGAGCAGCACCCCGTCCCCATCCTGGGGTTGTTGGTTGCTGCCCCAGGTCCCGCACTATGTAGGTGCACTGCTTCAGCAGCGTACACCTCGATCCTGTACCGTGTTTGTTATATAAACCCCCCCAATGAACACACCAGTGAGGGAGGGCGAGCGCACCGTGATATCCTCGTCGGCATCCGCGCGGGGGCGCCCTTCTGCTGGCCCCTGGCGGCCCGCCACGTAGGTGCGACGTGTCGCCGAAACATCGGTTCAAAACGACGTTCACAGCGCCAATTCGGCCCCAGCTCTTCGGCTCGCTCCCCTCGCCGGTGGCGTCGACATAAGCCTGGGGCTTCAACCCGGCCCGCGCGGGAGTTTGGTGTGGCTCGGCGGCTACAAGCGCAAGTGGGCAAACGCTTCCTTCTGGGCCTCCGAGCTGAATCGCGACAACTGGGGGTGGCGAATAGTGAGCGGCACTTGTGGCGGCCACGCCTTCAAGCTGGGGCGGGGCGGCTTTCGCAAGTGCGAGGAGCTCGAGATGGAGGTGCGGATGTCTAGCGCCACGTTTGAGGTCGGAAATTGGACCTTCACCGCGCTTGGAAACCACGTGTACAACCGTCTCTACGGCCCGCACCACCGCTTGGACCTGGAGATCAATGCGAAGGGCGACGCGGCAGCCCGCTATTCTCCGCACGGCATCATCGGGCAGTCCTTCGCCCATCGGGAACCACGCAACGGCTCCGTCGATCACTATCCTGACGCGGGCGACTTTACGACCTCGGCTATGGCCGAAGGGGCCATCGAGGGCGAGGCCTCAGCTTACGAGGTTGCAACGGCGCACGCGACTCACTTTGCCTTCTCGCGGTTCGACTCGAACGTACAGGCTGTGTATCCCGAATCACAACGAGCGGGGGAGATCATCGATGCAGCGGCCGCAGAGTGAGTGGCAGACTGGTAATGGTTCGTGCTCTCTCTGTTCCTTGAGTTGGCGATGAGAAAGGTTTTTCGCGTGCGGACTACTGGGCCTGCGGAGGCGTGGGCTGCCGCACGCTCGGCGAGCTGCGCGACTGCGTCGACGCGAGGCAGGCAGGCAGGTGAAAGCAGCGCAAGGCAGAAAGAAGAAAGGCTGTGCGTGAAGGCTTTGGGTGGGGGACCGGCTCACGATCCGGACCACCGATGCTGCGTGTGGCACTAGTGCACGACAGCACGTGACCCGAGTGTGCCACGCGCGAGGTGTCTCAGCAGGATCCAGCTCACTGTGTGCATGACTCAATCCTCGGTGACTAGAGATCAAGGAATGCAACTTAAAATGCACAAAATTGCGTGGTGTGTGTGCACTGCGTTTTGCTTCTTTTCTGCCCATGCAAACAACCCACGCCAGGCCGGGGCCGTCTCTCCCAGCAACCACACGCGCCTAGTCGCGTGGTGGGCAGAGGCGAGAGATGCACACTGCAGTGCAACACGTGTCCCAGCGACCGGCGCGCGATCTCCACCTCGACGCTCGAGCGCCTCTGCGCGGGTGCGCCCGAAGAAGCTGCAGACCTCCATCGATGCGAGCCCAGCGCCTCGAACCCAGAAAACGAGAGTGCACACGCACACCCGCACCAGAGTCGCCCGCTCTCCCGGCGCACTGTCACGAAAGTGTCAGCTCCCGCCGCGTGCCTCGATAGTGGCAGCAAAGTGGAGCAGCTCCTCCTCGCTGTCGCTGCGGCTCGCGCCCGAGCAGTGAAAGGAGCACGCGCTGCTCGCGCGGGGCCCCTCGGCCGGCTGCGCCGCGAGTCGCGCCTCGAGCAGCGCCACGCCCCGCGCGAGGCAGGCCTGGCTCTCCCTGACCTGTGCGAGCAGCGCCATCACGTCGCCATCCGAGGACGAGGGTCGCAATGGCGGCGGGTCGAGCGCCGCGGCAGCGGCGACCCTCGACAGCGCCTCGCCTCGCACGGGCGGCTGTGCCGCCCCCTCCTCTGCAGTCTCCGAGATGGCGCTCACCGTCGAATGCGTCGGCGCCGGGGCGCCGTGCAGCGAGCTGAAGGTGCTGGAGCGCACCACCGTGACGGCGGGCGCGGCGGGGGTCGGAGGTATCCTTGGAAGGCACGGCGTGGTCTGGCTCGCACGCGGCGGGGCCCGGACCAGCAGCCGGCCGGGCGCGAGCGCCTCGGAGCGCGAGGCCTGCTTGAAGACGCCGATGCACCGCTTGTGCGCCGCCGGAGGGCCGAGACCGCCGGCGGCGCTCCGTCCCGAGTGCCGCAGTTCTGCCTTGTCGTTCCACCGGATCTGCTCCCGGTGGAATTCGCGGTCCGACGAGCGCAGGCGGCGCCGCTCCGGCGTGGCGAGGCGGCTGCCGGTGGGCGGCGCGCGGCTGCCGGCGGCGCCGAGGCTGAGCACGCCGTGCTCCGCGAGCCACTCGACGTCGAGGTCGGGGAAGATATGGTGGCAGTACTCGAAGAAGGTGATGCCGCCCGAGCGGCTCTCATCGAGCAGGCGGAAGAGGCGGCGTGCCTGCGAGGGACAGTGGAGGTGAGGGGCGGTGGGGGCGAGAGGGGCGGTGGAGGCGAGAGGGGAGGTGGAGGCGAGAGGGGCGGTGGGGGCGAGAGGGGCGGTGGAGGCGAGAGGGGAGGTGGAGGCGAGAGGGGCGGTGGAGGCGAGAGGGGCGGTGGAGGCGAGAGGGCGAATGCGACGTCGGGTCGAGAGCGGCGGAGATCGGGGCCAGTGTGCGTGAGGCCAGCCTCGCTCGCCTCAGAGGGTGAGTGATCCAGGCCGAGGTCCTCGCAAAAGCGGCGGAACTCGAGGTAGTCGAGGTAGCCCGAGCCGTGCGTGTCCGCCTCCTCGAACAGCACCTGAATGCCCGCGAGCGAGATGTTGCGGTCGATGCACTTGCGCTGCACCTGCAGCAGGCCAGCTCGGGTACATTCGTCCGTTGCTCGGTGGTCTCGGGTGCGCTCTAGGGGTAGTCTCGCCGCTGCACCTGCAGCACGAACTGCATCATCTCGCGCTCCTCCCAGGCCATCGAGAAGTTGTTGCCGACGATGGCGAGCGGCATCGCGAGCAGGATGATGCCCGTGATGATGGCCAGCGAGCAGACAACCTTGCCGAGGTGGCTCTCGGGCGAGACGTCGCCGTAACCCACCGTCGTGAAGGTGACGATCATGCACCTGCTCACACCCGCATCCGTGAGGAGACGCTGTTCACACCACAGACGGCCGGCGTCGGTGACGACAATGCACCAGATCGCCTCGCCGAGGTCGTTGAAGGGCGTCTCGCCCGCCGGCGCCGTCCGGTTGTCGTTGGCCGGGACGACGACCAGCTCGATCCGCTCGAGATAGTAGATGACGGCGCCGAAGAAGAAGGCGCCGATGAGCAGGAATGTGAGAGGCACGAGCAGCGCGCGCATGGAGAGCGAGATCGCGCGGAAGATGACCGTGGTGTCGGGGTTGAGCCTCGCAATCTTGAGGATCCGGACCACGCGGAAGCAGCGCAGCACCTCGCTCAGGACCTGCAGTGGGGGTGGTGGTGGCGGCGGCGGCGGCGTGGCGGTGGTGGCGGTGGAGCGGTGGGGATGGTGGTGGTGGCGGCGGCGTGGTCTCTCGCCACCACGGCGCATTCCTCTCTCGGCTCTCTCTCTCTCTCTCTCTCTCTCTCTCTCTCTCTCTCTCTCTCTCTCTCTCTCTCTCTCTCTCTCTCTCTCTCTCTCTCTCTCTCTCGCTCGCTCGCTCGCTCGCTCGCTCGCTCGCTCGCTCGCTCGCTCCCTCCCTCCCTCGCTCCCTCCCTCCCTCCCTCCCTCCCTCCCTCCCTCCCTCCCTCCCTCCCTCCCTCCCTCCCTCCCTCCCTCCCTCCCTCTCTCTCTCTCTCTCTCTGTCTGTCTGTCTGTCTGTCGCAACCTGCAGCACGTTGTCCGAGTCCCCAAGATGGTTGGCGCACTGGTTGACATGTGAGCTGCCCGCGGCGAGGTCGAGCGTCAGCACGACATAGTCGGGCACGACCGACACCACGTCAACCCACCAGTACGCAGAGAGGCACATCTCGCCCACAGACCGCTTTGAGATGGTCCGCAAGATCAGCTCGACGGTGAAGGCGCCCGTTAGAGCCCAGCCGGTCAGCCAGAGCGCACAGTCGTCCAGGCTGCGCAGCCCGAATGAGTTTGTCTCGAGCAGCATCATCACCACCTGCGCAAAGATGGCCAGCGTCGCCGCCAGCGAGAAGAGGAAGGCGCCGAGCGACGACTGCCAGTCCTCGAGGAATAGCTGGAGGTGGAGCCGCCAGTCGCGGCTGTGCTTGGCGTACCGCGCCCAGGCGTAGTGCCGCGCTGCGGGCTGATAGTACTCCAAGTCGATGCGGTCGCCGCTCTGTAAGGACTCGCGCAGCCGGAGCGTGCTCGCCCGCCTCGTCTCGCCGGGCGCCTGCAGCGGCGAGCGCCGCCACTTGTAGGTGAAGGAGCCGTACGCGGCGACGCACGGCTCGCCTTTGGCTGCCGAACTCAACACGCGCCCTGATAGTCGTCCGCTGGGCGTGGCGTGGGCGAGCTCGACCATATGTGAGGAGCTCCTTCCCCGCTTATTGGACGGTGCAACTTCAGCTGTTTTAGGGTCTCGAGGCCTCGAGGTTGATGCCCCGATCCACTGTTTTCTAAGAGCGTCCCGCTCCCCGAGCCCGAGTCCCTTCCAGCTACCGACGCGATTCTCAATGGCACGTCCGCCGCCTTCCGGAGGACCTCACGGACCCCATTCCCGAACCCGCCGAACGACTCGAACGGCAGCAGCTGCACGTCAACGTCCTTATCTTCCCTCCCTGGCGTAGCGATAGTCCCCACCATAGGACGGTATGCGGCGGTCGCCGCCCACCACCCTGCCCCCCCTGGTATGCCAGCGCCCGGTCCCTTGCCCTCTCTCGCCCTTGCTCTTCCTCTCCCCCTTCATCCATGCCGCTCCCCCCGTACCCCTCCCCCTCCCCCTCCACCTCTCGTCCTCCCCTCC